ATATGTTAAACAATAGTAAATAATATTATACTTTAAAAGGCACAGTGCTACAGAGAACTATAAAAAGAGAGAAATCTAAATGATATTCCAAGTTCTCCTGAGCAATTTCTGCCAATTTACTTTGCTTCAGTGCCTGGGTTTGCCCATCAATATTAGTATGACAGGATTAAACCAGGTATCAGGAAGAATAAAATGTTATCAAAATGAATTGAATGCCTAAGACATTTCTATTATAATCAATAGTACATAAATAATGTTCATTTATTCATGAATTGATGGATAGTTACAGACTACTTTTGACTTTTGCTTCTCTATTTGCTCTTACAGAACAATGCTTTTGAGGCTCTAGTAGAAGATAAATCAGAAAAATGAAGTTCATGCTAATTAATTCTGCCAATGATAGAGGCCTTAGCCAGATTCTATTCCCAAGAAAATTCCCCATCCTGACCACTAGGCTCCCTTTCTCCATTACCACCATGTACACTCAGGTCCTCTTAACTCTGCCTGTACCACCATATCCTAAAGACCTCCAGGCCTCCAGACTCTCTTTTGTTTCATTCTACCCTTAATCCTACTGCCAGAATGTTATTCCTAAAGAACTCTCATCACATCGCTACCCAACTCAGAAACCTTCTTCCATGGCCAAACCTCTGGGCATAGCATTCCAAACAGCCTTCTGCAATCTGGCTCCAACTTATCTTTTAAAGCCTACCTCGCACTACTACCCTCTATATACCCCACTGGTCCTGAACTGGGGGCAATTTTGCTCCACCCCTGACCAGGGAACATTTGGTGTGGCTAGAGACATTTTTGATTGTCACAAATGGGAGAAGAGGGAGGGGCTACTGGCATCTAGTGGGTAGAGGCCAGGGGTATTGCAAAACATCTTACGATGCACAAGACAGCCTCTCACAACAAAGAATTATCTGACCCAAAATGTCAGTGTTGCTAAGGGTAAGAAACTCTGATCTATCCTATATTCCAGTGTTTCCAAAGTGGGGGACATAGGAGACTATTTTAAGTAGGAGCAGATTGGATAGCTCACTAACATCAAATCCATTGCTGTTGGGAATGTAAAATGGTACAGCCACTACGGAAAACAACTTGGCAGTTTCCTATAAAACTAAACACGCAACTACCACACAACCCAGCAATTGCACTCCTGGGCACTGATCCCAGAGAAATGAAAACTTATGTTCACGCAAAAACCTATACATGAATGTTTATAGTAGTTTTATTCACAATAGCCAAAACTGGAAACAACCCAGATGTCCTTCAATGGATGAACTGTTAAACTATGGACTACTCAGCAATAAAAAAGGAACAAACTATTGATACATGTAACCTGGATGACTCTCCAGATTATTATGCTGACAGAAAAATGCCAATCCCAAAGATTACATACTGCATGATTCCGTTTATATAACATTATAGAAATGCAGAATAGATTAGCGGTCCCCAAGGGTTAAGTAGGGTGTGAGGTGGGAAGGAAGTGGGCATGACTATAAAAGAGCAGCAAGAGGGATTCTTGTGGTGATGGAATGTTCTGTATCTTGACTGTATTAATGTCCATGTCCTGGCTGTGATACCAAACTACATTTTGCAGTATGTTAACATTAGAGGAAACTGGGCAATGGGTACACAGGATCTCTATTATAATATTTTTGGGGTGGAGAAAAAAATAATAATAGTATTTCTCACAACTGCATGTGACTCTACAATAACCTCAAAATAAAAAGTTTAACGTAAAAAAATTGAATCAAGCCAGGCATTTTGGCACTCTCCTATAGTCCCAGCTACTCAAGAGGCTCAGGCAGGAAGATCCCTTGAGCCCAGGAGTTTGAGGTTACAGTGAGCTACGGTGACACCACTGCACTCTATCAAGGGCAAAAGAATGAGACTGTCTCAAAAAAAAAAAAAAAAAGAAGGCTGGGCGCGGTGGCTCACGCCTGTACTCCTAGCACTCTGGGAGGCTGAGGCAGGAGGATTGCTTAAACTTAGGAGTTTGAGGTTGCTGTGAGCTAGCCTGATGCCACAGCACTCTACTCATTGCAACGGAGTGAGACTCTGTCTCAAAAAATAATAATAATAAAATAATAAAAATAAAAAATAAAAAGCAATGCGTGGGCCAGGCGCGGTGGCTCATGCCTGTAATCCTAGCATTCTGGGAGGCCAAGGCGAGAGGATTGAGGCTTGAAGCCAGGAGTTCAAGACCAGCCTGAGCAAGAGCGAGACCCCTTCCTCTGCATAATCAGTGAAAAAAAGAAAAAAAGAAAAAAAAAAAGAAGAAGAGCAAGATCCCATCTCTACCAAAAATAGAAAAAAATTAGCTGGGCATGGTGACGCTCGCTGTAGTCCCAGCTACTAGGGAGGCTGAAGCAGGAGGATGCTTGAGCCCAGGAGTCTGAGGTTGCAATGAGCTAGGCTGACGCCACTTCACTCTAGCCAGGGCAACAGAGTGAAACTCTGTCTCAAAAAAAGAAGCAGCAATGCATTAGGAAAAATTCTGCAGGAGGATAAAAATATTGAAACTATTGGCAGGTGTGAAAACAAATGTTGCTGCTCTAAGGAACCTACGGGGAGATGGAGTCTAAGAGTCCTGAGGAGGGGAGGTATTGAGTGAGGACATATTCTCCCTTTCCCTAGGTACACCTACACAGCATCATTGTTTTTGTCCTCTCCTCATATGCCTGCATACCCAGCTTTTCTTATTAATCAATCCTGTTTTTGTTTTCACATCAATAGCATGCAATTTCCTACAAGATAAAATTCAGAGGGAAATCCTAATATCAAGTAATTGTTAGATAAATCTTTCTCAAAATATAACTTGTAAATATATTATTTACCTGCTTTGTCTTCATCCTCAGAATCAGAATCAAAATATATATCATCATAGTACTTTGTCGGAGCTGTTCCAACTTTCTCATTTCCTGAAGAGGAGCCTATTCAAACCAGAAGTTTACAAACTAAACCATACATAATTCACAAGGAAAAAACTCCGCATATTCTTCTATCACCCCAAAGTAATTATCAGCTCATTCACACTCTCATCTGGATGATGAAATATTTTCACACCAATGACTTATTCAATTTCTATGACCTATGCAATTATAGAGAACTGCCCCTCCTTGAAGTGTTCCAAATCTCGAGAAAATTATCCCATCTCCCTTCCCACAAATCTACTTAAGTATTCTCAGGCTGCCAGCATTACATATCTCTACCTTTCAGCCATGCAGTATGCTGTAGAGAACAGAAAGTAAACATCTTGTTCTAAAAGACATTAGGGGAAAGAGGGTAAGAACCCTACAAGAAGGCAAGGGGAATGAGTCAAAGACATACTCTCCCTCTCTCCTCAGTTGTGCCCACTGCCGTAACATGCCTCCATCCCTAATTCTTCCTCTTAATTAACATCTGCTTTGATTTTTATTATATTATTACCATATGCTTTCAAGTCTAACCATTAATACATAGCATATCAACACGGAAACCAATGCTGAGGAGTCCTACCTTTACAAACCAGTTTTCAGGTCAAGTACATTTTACATAAAGACCAAGTATCAAAATGAAGTATTAATATGTTTCATTACTTACTGAGACAGGAATCTGTGGTGACACATCATTAAATCTGCTGTATCAGTGCCATTTAACCCTAAATATACCTCTATAAGCTTGTGTGTCTTTTTTTAACCTGAAGTAAAAACTACAAAAGGAAATCATGCCAGTTAACAGTATTAAATAATCTCTTTCCAAGAACACAAGATACTTCTCTGTAGTCATAAAAGAAAACTCCAGCACTGGTTGCCAAAAACATTTACCCCTTAACTCAATAAATATTTATTGACCATCTACTAAAAGCACTGGGGACACAAAAGAGTACAAATAAGGTTCCTGCTCTTAGGGAGCTTACAAAATTATACATGAGAACTGAACCAAAAGTTACCTGTTCCCAGGGAGGATAACTTGTCCTCCATTGTTTTTATGGTAGAATTTAATTCAGCTTCCATTTCTTTTTCAAATTCATCTTCACTAGATGATTCACTTTCTCCAGTAAGACATTCTCTGATGAGTTTTCGTTTTTGGTCAGGAGTTCCATGTAAAAGCACATCCACTTCATCTTCAGAGCTAGTATACATTTAAATCAGAAAGCATATGAATATTAAAAAATTAGAGTAACTTAAAACTCCCATCATCTCACTGTCCAATAACAAGTTTAAGTTTTACAAGGTTGCATTTGATATACCTACCACACTATACAGCTATTCTTTTTTTTTTTGAGACAGAGTCCCACTCTACTGCCCTGAATAGAGTGCCATGGCATCAGCCTAGCTCACAGCAACCTCAACTACACAGCTATTCTTAATAGACCAACCAGTGCTGCATATTTCCAAATATATTTTTAATGTCTACATACACTTCCTCTTGTGGACACTGCACGTTTATTTCTAAACTCTTTGCTATTAAACACTACAATGATCACCTCTGTATATATAATTTTGTTTCTATTGATTTCCTTAGGACAAATGTCTAGAATTAGACACCAATACCTTTCTGACTTCTTTTTTTTTTTTTTTTTAATAAATTTGCTTTAAGTGAGCAAAAATCTTTGCTATTGGGCGAAACAGAAATCCATTTCTTTTTTAGAGTAGTTCTACAAACTCGTTTTTGCAACAAAATAAACCACTATCCATCAAGACACAGGAAAAAGGAATGCAGAGATTTAGGAATATCGTTCTTGCTTCTCTTCACCTTTAGTAGAAATAGGACTGTTCTCATAATGCTCCTGACAATTATGTTGCCTTAAGCAATAGGATGCTGGGGAGTGTGGGAACCTGATGCACGGGCTCTCAAGTTCTCCTCAAGGTGCTTCATCTTCTCAGCTTGGGCACGATGTTCTCGATGAAAACACGCCAGGCCTAGGAGCATGCTCATCACCTGGCTCTGGACACTGGGCCGTCCGAAGACAGTGATTTCAACTAAGTTCCCAGAGTCCACCATGTTCACTGTCAGGAGGGCCTGGCTCATCCACTCCATTTTTGGAATTACGGCTCGGTCTGGGCCAAAAATCACATCCGTCAGCCATGCCTCCAGGTAGAACACCAAAGGGTTCCTCAGTTCCTGCACCGGAAGCCACCAGGGCCGGATGCGAATCTGCGGCGGCGGAAGCGGTAACCGAAGCAGTCTCTCCAGGGAGTAGGCCAGAGACAGTTTGTCCCGCTGGGACTCAGCAGCACCAGCGTCGTCCTCCATCTTGGGATCAGCGGCCACAGAAATCACTCGGAGTGCCCTTTCTGACTTCTTGTATTATCACACTGCATTCCAAAAGCACTGCACCAATTCATAATCCCATCAGCAATGAAAAGTTGACTTCACGAAATTGGGAGTTTTAAAAAAACTCTGGATACTTACGTAAGACTTAATATACACAATTAATATATAGTTAATATATACACATAAAATATGTTAAACAATAGTAAATAATATTATACTTTAAAAGGCACAGTGCTACAGAGAACTATAAAAAGAGAGAAATCTAAATGATATTCCAAGTTCTCCTGAGCAATTTCTGCCAATTTACTTTGCTTCAGTGCCTGGGTTTGCCCATCAATATTAGTATGACAGGATTAAACCAGGTATCAGGAAGAATAAAATGTTATCAAAATGAATTGAATGCCTAAGACATTTCTATTATAATCAATAGTACATAAATAATGTTCATTTATTCATGAATTGATGGATAGTTACAGACTACTTTTGACTTTTGCTTCTCTATTTGCTCTTACAGAACAATGCTTTTGAGGCTCTAGTAGAAGATAAATCAGAAAAATGAAGTTCATGCTAATTAATTCTGCCAATGATAGAGGCCTTAGCCAGATTCTATTCCCAAGAAAATTCCCCATCCTGACCACTAGGCTCCCTTTCTCCATTACCACCATGTACACTCAGGTCCTCTTAACTCTGCCTGTACCACCATATCCTAAAGACCTCCAGGCCTCCAGACTCTCTTTTGTTTCATTCTACCCTTAATCCTACTGCCAGAATGTTATTCCTAAAGAACTCTCATCACATCGCTACCCAACTCAGAAACCTTCTTCCATGGCCAAACCTCTGGGCATAGCATTCCAAACAGCCTTCTGCAATCTGGCTCCAACTTATCTTTTAAAGCCTACCTCGCACTACTACCCTCTATATACCCCACTGGTCCTGAACTGGGGGCAATTTTGCTCCACCCCTGACCAGGGAACATTTGGTGTGGCTAGAGACATTTTTGATTGTCACAAATGGGAGAAGAGGGAGGGGCTACTGGCATCTAGTGGGTAGAGGCCAGGGGTATTGCAAAACATCTTACGATGCACAAGACAGCCTCTCACAACAAAGAATTATCTGACCCAAAATGTCAGTGTTGCTAAGGGTAAGAAACTCTGATCTATCCTATATTCCAGTGTTTCCAAAGTGGGGGACATAGGAGACTATTTTAAGTAGGAGCAGATTGGATAGCTCACTAACATCAAATCCATTGCTGTTGGGAATGTAAAATGGTACAGCCACTACGGAAAACAACTTGGCAGTTTCCTATAAAACTAAACACGCAACTACCACACAACCCAGCAATTGCACTCCTGGGCACTGATCCCAGAGAAATGAAAACTTATGTTCACGCAAAAACCTATACATGAATGTTTATAGTAGTTTTATTCACAATAGCCAAAACTGGAAACAACCCAGATGTCCTTCAATGGATGAACTGTTAAACTATGGACTACTCAGCAATAAAAAAGGAACAAACTATTGATACATGTAACCTGGATGACTCTCCAGATTATTATGCTGACAGAAAAATGCCAATCCCAAAGATTACATACTGCATGATTCCGTTTATATAACATTATAGAAATGCAGA